CCCTTCACCATTGATCGCCCATTAAGGGTGATTGCCCTTCTCCATCTGCATGCAGTTTCATGCCCGTTGCTGGTTGGCTAACTAGCAACGGGGTCTCCGTTGCTGGTTGGCTAACTAGCAACGGGGTCTTGCCAGCCAATGGAACTGTGTGATTACAAGCCAGGGGAATCCCATAAAAGAGGGCTCCCCTGGCCCAGAGCACCAGTCCGGATTTACCTTATGCCTTGCCAATAAACCAAGAGCTGACTGTCACTCGACTCGTGTCTTACTGCCTGCGCGATCTAACACAGTCAATGCGAAAAACAGTCATTGGTCATTTTTTTTAGTGCCATTGTAATTTCAAATGGTCACTAAATGAATGATTGTAAGACTCTGGGACCGTGGTGGCGAACCTATGGCATGCGTGCCACAGGTGGCACGCAGAGCCCTCTCTGTGGGCACGCGCGCCGTCACCCCAGTCCTAGGCCTTCAGCTGGGTTTTATAAAACCTTTTCACTTTAGGCCTCTGCCGCCATGTGCAAAAAAAGAGGTTCAATCAATCAATCAATTTTAACTTCTCGCGGGAAAAAAAAAGTTCTCTCAAAATTGGAATTGATTGATTGAACTTTTTAGTCCCACCCAGTCTGCCGTTACCACCGCAGCCACACCCACCCAATGGGCCACGGCACCCGACAATACATAAGTGGGTTTTGGGTTGCAGTTTGGGCACTCGGTCTCTAAAAGGTTCGCCATCACTGCTCTAGGACTACTTGTACTTTGAAGGATTCAGTCCTTCAAAGGATCCTGTCCTCAGGAATGGGTAGCAATGTTGAATTCTCTCTTTTTATGGTAATCCATGAAATGAAAATTTAAACAAAGACAATGCTTCTTTTTTTGGGGGGGGGAATTCATTTTGAACATCTGTGTTTTATGTTGGGGAAAGGAGTTTTTCTCCATATCTTCAGTTCTTATCTTTGAAGGGTTGGGAAAGCTGGTGAGGAAGAGAATTAGAAAAACCCCTTTGCCTGCCAGAAATATGGTTTAGGTATTGAATGGAAGCAGGAGTGTCTGCAGGAGGGGGTCAAAAAAGTCAAGATGGTGTCCATAATCATATACACGACACCCACGCATAAAAAGGGGGTGGGGCTTTGATCACCTGGCTGGGTTGCCATCTTGCTTTTATGGACACTCCTGCGAAGACCCCTGAATGGAAGAAATACCTTGGGATGCTTTGGGCCTTTGTTCCTTTCAATGTTTTCTTTAAAAGCCATTAAATTTCTCTTTTCTTTTTCTTTCTTGCAGATCACTGGTGTTATGACAAACCAGAGTGTGGTAAGCTATGTTTTTTTTCTCTGATTCCAGAAACCTTCTTATTGTGGTAACCACAAGCCTTGTTCCTGGAGAGCCATCCGTTGCTTCAGGTGTTTTGGAGAATAGCTTGACTCCCTCTTCTTTGTGGCAGATCCTGAAATATTGGAACACTGCTATCATGTCACCCCTCTGTTTTTTCTTTCCTAAATGTAGAACTTTGCTTTTTTCACCATTGAATTTCATTTTGTTAGATAGTGCCCAGTGTTCATGTCTGTCCAGATCCTCCTGTCTATTAAGCCTGTCTTCTGGAGTGTTGGCTATTCCTGCCAGCTTGGTGTCGTCTGCAAATTTGATGAGTTCCCCATCTATCCCCTCATCCAAATCGTTGATGAAGATATTAAAGAGCACTGGGCCCAGAAGAGAGCCCTGGAGCATCCAACTACACACTTCCCTCCATGTAGATGCAGTTCCATTGAGGACCTCACACTGAGTATGGCCGGTCAGCCAGCTACGAATCCACCTGGTGGTGATGCTGTCTAACCCACATTTTTCTATCATATCAAGTAGTAGGTTGTGATCTACTTTATCAAATGCCTTACTGAAGTCCAAATAAATTATATCCACAGGGCATTCCTCTGATCCACTAATTTTGTCACTTGGTCAAAGAATGCAATAAGATTTGTCTGGCATGATCTGTTTTTGACAAACCCATGTTGGCTTTTAGTAATGACTTTGTTTGCCTCTAGGTGTTCGCTGATTCATTGTTTGATTATCTTTTCTAGAATCTTCCCAGGTATTGAGGTTTTTCCTTTTTTGAAGATGGGAACTACATCAGCTCTTTTCCAGTCCTCTGGTAGTTCCTCAGTGCTCCAGGATCTTTGAAAAATATAGTTCAGTGGTTCTGAGATCACATCTGCCAGTTCCTTGAGAACCTTGGGGTGTAATCCATCTGGTCCTGGTGATTTGAACTCGTCTAGGCTGGAGAGGTTCTCACTTACCATTTTCTTGCCTATCTTAACTTGTGTTTCTCTTCTATTTTTTATGGCACTATTTTTGATAGGTTGGTCTGTTTTTTCCCTTTGTGTAAAGACAGATGCAAAAAACGAGTTAAATAGTTCTGCTTTCTCCCTGTTGCTTGTCACCTTCTTGCCACTTTCCTCCACTAATGGACCAACCATTTCCTTAACTTTTTTCTTGTTTTTTACATGTTGAAAGAAGCTTTTTTTGTAATTTTTGACTTTGGTCGCAAGCCTTAGTTCATTTTGAGCCTTAGCTTTCCTCACTTCATCTTTGCAGGCTTGGGCTATTTGCTGATATTCTGCCTTAGTTATGTGCCCCTCTTTCCACTTTTTATACTTGTCCTTTTTATCTTTCAATTTATCAGAGAGTTCTTTATGCAGCCATGCTGGTTTCTTTTGAGAGCTGTTATTTTTCTTCTTTGTTGGTATTCTGCTAGACTGGGCTTTTATTATCTCATTTTTCAAAATTTCCCAAGCTTCTTGAGTTGTTTTCCCCTTGGGGATTCTCATCCATGGAATTCTTCCCAAGCCCTCTCTAAGTTTATTGAAATTAGCTCTCTTAAAGTCCAAGATTCTAGTTTGACTGTGTTCTATTGCTTGTGCTTCCATAATGTTGAATTCCAATATTGCATGATCACTTCCTCCCAAGGTTCCTGTGGCTTCAACACCTTCTATCATTTCATCTCTGTTAGTGAGAATTAGATCCAATGTGGCTAGTTCCCTTCTCTACTTTTTGGGAGACAAAGTTGTCTGCTAGGTTTGTCAGGAATCTGTTTGATCTTCCACTTGGTGCAG